AGACGATGCGAGCGTGTGACGGAGGAAGAAGGTGCCCTGGTCACTTACAGCTTGGCCCCACCAGGCAGAAAGAGAAAGTAGAGAGAAGACACGGTCAGAGTGAAGGGTATTTTGGATATCACTATCAGTCGGGTTCACATGTTTGGAGAGAGAGAAAAAAAGTTCGACGATGGCACCATGGTGCGCTCGAATTTTTTAGTGGCACGTAGACTTTGACCCTCTTTTATAATGGAGGTAAAAGGCTCGAACCCTCAGGTCAGCCTAAAAACAAGTTTTGAAGGGCTACCTCTGCTTCCTTGACAGGGTCACCATGGCCGCTCCGGTCGTCGAGGATGTCCTGTGAGTGGCGGCCGTACGCGGAGATCCGGAAGCGGCGGTCCCGCGCGCGCTCCTGGACCCTGACGAGCGCGTTCATGCACTTGAGCGTGACGGCGAGCTGCTTGCGCACGCGGCGGCCGCGCACCAGCGCCTGCAGCCGCACGATGCCCCGCAGTGCCCTCAACGCCCTCCGAGCCTTCACGCATCCACCGACAAGAAGCAGTGAGGGGACCAAAAAAAAAAAGACGAGCATTTTTACCAGGAAACCGAGCGACGCGAACGGAGGCGGCGGCGGCGGCGGCGGCGGGTAAGCCTACCAGGAATGCGCGGAAGGCGGACTGGATGCGGACGGCAGCCCACTCCTGCCTGATGACGCGGAAGTCTCTGGGCTGCGCGCGCACGACGGCCGCGACGACAGAGCTGCTGAGCGCGTCGGCAGTGGACGACGCCTCCGCCTCGGACGGCGCCTCCGACGGCGGCGCGCTGCTCCCCCGCTGCGAGGACGAGCTCCGCCACAGCCGGCTCCATTTCCGCCCCTTCCCCACGGCGCCAGGCCTCTCCCTCTCTGCTGCCGGCCGGAGCCCCACCAGCGTCCGGATCCATTTGCCCGATGCCCCCATCCACGCTGCAACGCGAAAACCCCCAAATTTCTGCTCCCTCTCTCCCTCCTGGGAAGAGCGTGCACTGCTCCCACGACGACGAGGCGAAACGGCCAAATGGGGAGGTCGTGGGAAACGTGAGGCTTGGCGGCGTGCCTTGGCCGTTGTGCGTGCTTCGGTTACGAGTCCCGGGAGAGCAGTTCGGGCGCGGTTCAAATTTCGAAACCGGGACGAGCACCAAGCCGGGTAAAGCCACGGCCGAGGGGGCTCCGGGTCCCACCCTGTCAGACTTTCTTCGTCTCCGTCAAGGAAGTTGGAGGGAGGGGAGCAACGGTGCAGGCGCGCGCAGTCGACACGCGCTGTCCTTTTTTCGCTCGTTGGGCTTCGAGAAAGACGTGCTATTGATTGCCCGTCTTTTTCGTGGCACGGGCCGGTGAGCCAGAGTGCCGACTGGTCCGTCTTGTTTAAGTCCGTCTAAGAAAATTGGAAGTCACCAAATAATCTCAAATTTAATTAAATTTATTTAAATCAGTACAATATTTCTATCTTTTAATAGATTTATTGTAAAAAGTTAAAATATATTTTACGATTAATATAGTAATATTTATTATGTCTCATAAATATTAGTACTCCACCCTCTAAAATAAGTGCACCTTTCATTTTCTAAGAAGTCAAATTATTTTAAGTTTCATAAGATATATCATTAGATTGATCATGACATATATTTTAATAATAAACTTATTTGATATTATTTTTTATATTTTTTGAAAAACTTAAATGAGTTGACTCCTCGAGGAACGAGAAGCACACCGTTTTAGGACGGAGGGAGTATTTCATTATAAATATTTTGTTCAAATTTGGGGTTATTTGACTCCTCGATAAGCGATTTTTTTTATTCTTTAAGGATGGAGGAAGTATGTCAGTATGCGCAGCTTGGCTCGTTTGAGTAGGGCCCTATTTTGTACAGCGGTAAAAAAACATTTCTCTAAGAAGCTGCATAAATAAAACAAAAGCAACGGTCTTAAATTTCTTTAATTAATATGAAACCAAAAAGATAATTGTTAATGTTTTTGCTTTAAAAAACTATTAAAATTTGAAGATTATTAATATAATTAAAATTTCTATGTTGCAACGTTGAAACATATTTAATAGCATGTGCCTCATTGAGACCAGTTCCTTAGGATGATGATTTTCTATGTTTTCCTTATTAAGGACATGTTTGGATCTAATTCTCTAATAGTGAGAATTTGGATTCTAGATAGTGATTATATACAATATGGATTCTGAGTTAAAATAAACGAGGGGTGTTTGGATCTGATTCTTATAATAATTATTGTATTTGCATAAAAACCTCCAAATAGTATATTTGAGGTAGATAGTTGCGATCTGTTTGTTTCGCTGAAATTTGGCTTATGCTGATGCTTTATGCTGATTTGTTATGAGAGGAAAACATTGTTCGTTCGCTAAAAAGTACTGCTGAAATAGTTCAATGCTTATGCTGATTCTAGATTTTCATTCTATAATTTAAGTGTTTGGATTTCATTTGCATTTTTTTGTCCCACGCCTTGTTTAGATGCCATCCAAATTCCAAGTTTTTTCACTCTCTCTCCATCACATCAATTTTTAGCCGCTTGCATGGAGTATTAAATGTAGGTAAAAAAATAACTAATTACACAGTTTAGTTGGAAATCACGAGATGAATCTTTTGAGCCTAGTTGGTCCACGATTGGACAATATTTGCCAAATAAGACGAAACTGGTACTATTCATCGGGTTCACTTTTTTTGCGAAGTGAACGAGGCCCCATTCTCATTTTTGTTAGAAGATCTAAACAAGACCTGACGTACTCTCTCTGTCCGTCCACGGAAGAATGCAACTCTAGGATTTATGCAAATCAAAATAGCTTAATTTTGACCAAGTTTATAGTTGATAATATTAACATGCTTTTATTTCGTATCATAGATGTTACTCCCACCGTTCCGAAACAAGACATTGTGACTTTTCTATATACATGCTTTTGTTATGTACTCCCTCTATCCCCAATTAACTGTCGTCGTTGGTTTTCGTACCAAAGTTTGACTCGATTTTTATAGAAAATACGTGCAATATTTGTATCTCTAAATAAATTTATTTAAAAACTAGATTCAAATATCTATCTATTGATATGAATTGTGTACTATAAAAATTATTATTTTATATATATATTTAGTTAAAATTGTTTTTTGGGAAGCGAGAAACGACATATTTAGGGACTGAGATAGTATCTAGATATAATGTATATCTAAGTGCATAGCAAAAATTATGAATCTAAAAGGCAACATATTTTACTATTTGGAATGGAGGAATTAGTACTTTTTTTATACTCCATCCGTCCACAAAAGAATGCAATTCTATTATAGCACCAAATTAAAGTATCTTAAGCTTGACTAACTATAAATAAAAAATCAATAATTATAATATCAAATAAGTATCATTAGATTTACTATAAGCTATATTTTCATACTACATTTCCCGTGTCATAAATGTTAACAAATTATATATATATTTGATCAAACTTTAAACACGATAACTAAGGATGCACCTAAAATTACATCCTTTTATGAATAGAGATAGAGATAGTATTCTTTACTTAAACCAGCATGGCTGTACGGGAACATAGGCACACGAAGGAAAGAGAGTGGGCTTAGAGCAGCCGCAATGTTGTAAACAAACGATGCTTAGAATAGAATAACAGAAAGAAAGTTAGAGCATCGATTTTCTTAGTTAGTTCCTCCGTCTCAAAAGAATACATTTCTAGTATAGTGTTACGTTTTAATACCTTAAATTTATCAATTATAGATAAAAAAGTATCAATGTCTATGATGCTAAATAAATACATTCAAATTAATTACGAAATCTATTTTCATAATAAATTAATTTAAAGACATAACTATGAATATTATTTACTAAAAGCTTGGTCAAACGTGAACCACTTTTTATAGCACGTAATTTATAGTTGTATTCTTTTCGGGGAGGTATAATTAGAAAAATGTGGCATCGAGGAACGTTGATGCATCGGTGTTGAATGGCCATGTCAGTTGGGTGAGTGTCTAAAATATTATTTCAGTTGGATGAGTGAGTAAGAATTTGCTGGGAATGGCCCCCCAAGTGTTTTACGTATCGCTGCTACCAATTGCAAGAAATAGAAAGTTCAAGCATCGATGCTTTGTGTCAGTGACAAGATGTTTGAAACCTGTGGCTACTCTTAGAGCATTTCTAAGAATTTTTTACCGAAATATGGACCCATCTTAATGCATGTATCATTGTGCACAAGGAAATAACAAAAGCTTGTTTTGGTCATAATCATTTGCTTTTGCCCTGAGAATATCTGCTTTTCATAGCCTCTTGGAGTCTGGGGGCAGCACGTCACCGGGTATTGCTTTTGGGGAAGGCCTCTAAAGCTTTTTGTTAACGAGTTTTTTTATTTTGGAAGTCAAAATGCCAAACTTTTGGAATGGATTGTTTTTTTACTTGGCATATAATTTTGGGAGTTGACAAATCACAAGATTTGACAAGTAAAATTTGACAAACTCTTGGGGATGCTCTTAGATCGTTTTTACCGAAATATGGATCCATCTTAATGCATGTACCATTGTGCACAAGGAAATAACAAAAGCTTGTTTTGGTCATAAACATTTGCTTTTGCCCTGAGAATACTAGCCTGTGTGGAGTCTGGGGGCAGCACGTCACCGTATTGCTTTGGGGAAGGTCTAAAGTGAGTCGGCTGCGGCAGCGCGTGAAACTGGAAAAGGTTCCCCCATCTCATGCTTCTCTGGCAATTTGGTCTTTTCAACGAAAACGAAGATCCCCCCCGTGGCCGCCCTGCCCTCGGGAGGAGGAAAACCCGCACAAGAAAAGAGAAACCCGCAAGCCGCCCCGTGCAGGCCCGTCGCCCGTTGCCGAGGTCAAATTCGTCGGCGGTTGGGGCGGCGGGGTGACTGGCCGCCGGCCGCGGGGCGCGCCCGGCCTGGTGGGATCCCTTCGGACTTCCACAGATTCCCGCGCGGGGGGTGTTCGATTTGGATGACAGGAGCGCGGCGGCGGGATGGGGACCCCTTCGCAGGGCTCGGCGGCCGTGGCGGCGGCCCGGGTCGACCTCTGCGCGCTCGACCTCATGCCCGTCTTTGCCAAGGAGATGATCGCCGGCGGCGTCGCCGGCGCCTTCTCCAAGACCGCCATCGCGCCGCTCGAGCGCGTCAAGATATTGCTACAGGTTCGTGGGGTCCTCTCGTTCGTCCCGTGGGTAGACCTGCGTGTCGATAATACGTTGCAATGTAGGCATATCGATTGACAGATAAAATCTCCTGATTTGCGCGGGCCTACGGATCCTCTCTCCATGTCTGCAGTTGAAACTGAGTTTATCGATGTAGTGGTCAAATGTGAGCAGCCACAGACAAGATTTGGTTCAGGATGCAACGTCCAAGATTCATAGCGAAATGATCTTTTGTCCTGTCACTCAGCAGTCTTTGAGAACGAAGTGTTTTTCTTAGTTGAGACTACCCACATGTTTTGCAATGCAAGATTGTGACTGCGAGTTTCTTTGTGTAGAATTACAATGATCTTTCTGTGTAAGAACTTGATGCTATGGATTCCATCCTGCTTTTTCCTAGGTATACCAGGCTTCATTTTAGGGCGTTGACAGTGTTCAGTCAAAATTCTGCTCTATCCAACTGCCTGATTAATTTTGCACATCACGTCTGATGCTATTTTGAGATTAATGCATGCTAATTCTCATTCAAATTTATTCTGCTTATGTAGACCAGAACAAATGAGTTTGGGTCTCTTGGAGTTTTCAAATCATTGAAGAAACTGAGACAACTTGATGGAATCATGGGGTTTTACAAGTACGTAGCAACTTGAATATTGCATTATTTGGACTGAATCATCAAGATTAGGATATAATATTGCTTACTAACCTTGTATTGATGCTACCTTCAGAGGAAATGGTGCCAGTGTGCTGAGAATTGTTCCTTATGCTGCATTACATTACATGGCATATGAGCGGTACCGGTGTTGGATTTTGAATAACTGTCCCTCACTGGGAACAGGGCCTTTAGTAGATCTTTTAGCTGGTTCAGCATCAGGGGGAACTGCCGTATTGTGTACTTATCCCCTGGATTTGGCCCGGACTAAGCTTGCCTTCCAGGTTTTTCCTTGTCTTTACGATCTCAAGTCCTTCATCACCTTCCTTTTGTCATTCTGGATTACTAAATCTTTACTTGAACATCTATACTTCTTGGACCAAGGATATAATGTTTAAGATAAGTTGCTTCATAGATAATAACAGTGATCGATAAATCGTTCGATCAACAAAGTTTTGATCTCTAACAATTATTACATTTCATCATAATCATTGTTTATATGAGCATTTGAATTGATCAAATGAAGATTATTTCTGACATTTCTTATTTTTCTCACTTTTCAAGAAAAAGTGTTGCTCATTTTTTCTCTCTGGAGATCTGTACACAGGAAATCAGTAATATTTATTTGTCAAACAAAGGGAGTAGTATTTACATTCCTACCACACGAATAACCTTTCTACCACGTCAGGTTCATGTAACTGGCAGTAACTGTAGTTCTTTTGGCCAAATTGGTGGGTAACTGAAAATTTCTTGCTGGTACCCACCACCCTGTTAGGTTATTTTCTACATCAAAATGCTTAAACGTGCTTGTTCCAAAATTCAGATCTTAAAAAATTTCTATTTGAAATTCACACAAAATTCAGATCTTCAAAATTGTCTATTTCAAAAGATTCATCTCGTGATTTCCAACTAAACTGTGTAATTAGTTATTTTTTTTACCTACATTTAATACTCCATGCAAGCGGCTAAAAATTGATGTGATGGAGAGAGAGTGAAAAAACTTGGAATTTGGATGGCATCTAAACAAGGCGCAAGCCAGAGTAGCTTCCAGGGCTGAATAGTTGATGTTTATCTTTTGTCATAGGTCAATAGTTCAGACCAACTCAGCAGAGCTTTGAAAAGGGGAAGTCCTCAGCCAGCATATGGAGGAATAATTGATGTCTTTAGAGGTGTTTACTCAGAAGGTGGAGCGCGGGCTCTTTACCGAGGTGTAGGTATGGTTATTCCCTTCATATGCTGTATTATCATTAATTGTTCAAGCACTTGGAAATCTCTAGTCAGCTTACTAGGCGCTATAAGCAGTTTAGATTCAGGCACATCATATTTCAGTTATGTCTGGATGAATTTATTACTTGCTGATGTAGTTATACTGTTCAGAGTTTAGTCAGCTCACTAGGCGCTATAAGCAGTTTAGATTCAGGCACAGCATATTTTAGTAATGTCTGGATGAATTTATTACTTGCTGATGTAGTTATACTGTTCAGAGTTTAGTCAGCTCACTAGGCGCTATAAGCAGTTTAGATTCAGGCACAGCATATTTTAGTTATGTCTGGATGAATTTATTACTTGTTGATGTAGTTATACTGTTCAGAGTCGGGGCTCAAATCTGAACCATTCTTCATCAGGTCCAACGCTCATGGGGATACTTCCTTATGCTGGTCTTAAGTTCTACATATATGAAGGACTGAAGGCACATGTACCAGAAGATTACAAAAGTTCGGTAACATTGAAGCTGTCATGTGGTGCTGCTGCTGGTTTATTTGGACAGACTCTTACTTATCCATTAGATGTTGTCAGGAGGCAGATGCAGGTATCATATTTGCAGTCTCTGTTTATTATTATCATCATAAGAAGATACTGATGTTCTTGATAGTCACTTTATCATTCTGACCTTTTTTTTGTGTGTGTGTGTGTTTGCTCCCCTTGTTGTAGGTTCAGAGTCAGCAACACCATGAACAATTTGGTGGGCCACGAATAACGGGCACATTCCAGGGTCTTATGTCCATTAAACAAACACAGGGTTGGAAACAATTATTTGCTGGATTGAGCCTCAATTACATCAAGGTATTTTAATCGTTGACATTTCGGTTCAACCCATTAGAGTTGGCATGATTAGGTGTTTAGTTCTATGACAAGTGGCACGGGCACATTTTTTTTCGGCTATTTAGTTCCCAAACAGGCAAACACACTGAACAAAACCTACTGCAACTGTCGCACTATAACAGTGTCTGAGCGTCCTGCATTCGTGGTTAGAATTGTCCCAAGTTTTGTAACTTTGTTGTGAAGTACAGATGCATTTTTTTTCTTTCTTTCTGAATTTATAAGACATAACATTCAAGATCTGTGATGGAAAACAAAAATAGACAAGTGGCTTCTTATTTTGTTGAAAGTTTATCAGTTTGTACCTTTCTTTTCGATGCTTGATGTGCTCTTTATAAAAATTGGCCAGGAATCCTCTGTAACTGTAACCTCATCTGGAATGTGGACCTTTTATTAGTAACCCAGGTTCTTGTTTGTAGTTTGTGACTTTTCTTATAGGCAAATTGGTCTTGTTAAATTTGAATTAACTGGATTCTCCCTATTGAAGAGCATGCTTTATCTTGATGATTTCTGTTTACTATATGTGCATCTGACTATCTGTTTTACTTGTTGAATACTGCCTTTACTTGTATTCAGATGTGCACTATGATTGTCATGTTTTTATGTATAATGTTAAAACATGGATCATTTTGCAGGTGGTGCCCTCAGTGGCCATTGGTTTCACCGCATATGACACCATGAAGCATTTGCTGAAGATACCTCCAAGAGAGAAGAAAAGGTCTGGGGATGGCCCTGCTTGAAATTTTGGTCGCTCTATTCTCCAGCTAGCAGAACTAGTGCTTCCGAGGCTTGGACAATGCCGCATGAAGCTTGCAACAGAATGAAGCAGCCTCGCCCGCAACTCTGTTACTAGTACTAATTGTGTCACGTAATAGCTATAGCTACCTGACATATTCTAATTTTTCCTCATTCATTTACCATTTGAATTTCGAGTGTACATTTTATCCACCGTGTGGAATGGTGGTACTGAGTTAACATCTTGTGAGTTGTGACATGAGTATACATACAGAAACTTAAAACTGATAGATCTATTTCTTGATTAACATATCCTTTACAATACCTGAAGGTCGGTGGCTTCCTAGAGCCTGGTTTGGACCTCCAAACAGCTAACCAAACCAAACAGGCCCAATATATCTAGAGTTCCTAAACAAAGGAAAAAATCTACTTTGTCTCTCTCAACTATCGCAAAAGTCAGTTTTCCTCATTGAATTAAAAAACCAAACATAACTCCTCCCTTATCTTTTCAAACTAGACATATGACCTCCCAGGCTGTTTCTCTAGTTTTTTTTCTTTTATATTTATTTTGGTTGAATATTTAAAAAATCATAGTAAATTACAGAAAAATCATAAAATGATAAATCGAATTTTATTGGACTCCATATGAGTAGATCTACATAGTAAATATATGGTATGTTTTAGTACAAAATTTTTGCTCTAACTTTAAATCTATGCATTTATGTGATTAATTCATAGTTGCAATATCTGTGGTCCTATTGTGGTGAGTTTTTTTTATGGTGAACTAATCATTGCATTCTTGGGATGTAAAAATTTCATGCTCATTGGATCATGTATGACTGAGTTATAGATTTATTCAGGTTTATGCTTAATAAATAGTTTTTAAATAGTTAAAAGTGTGTAAAAATAGAAAAATATGTGTTCTCTATGTAATATTATTATTGTTATATCTTATGAACACTTAACATAATCATGTTTTCACAAAGAAAATTACACAAAGAATATACATTTAATATATATTTATAAAGTTGTTCTCGCCCTAGTAAAAAACATGCTTGGATGTAATCTTTTCCACATCTGATGAGGGTTAAAAGATAATATAAGGACCGAGACACTTATATATATATAAGAGCCTAAGAGAGAAGTGAATTAGGCCACTTCAAAATTATAGGCTCTAAAATCACTTATAAAAACCTACACAAGTTGTGTACTAGGTTTGCTTAAATGCTGCTATCTCTAACAAAAAATAGTTTTACACCCTATCTAGCTTCCAACAATGTAGGATTTTATCTTAATTAATCCCGTAATTTCATAACTGATAGATAATTTTTCCCGTAATTTGATATTGTGTCTTCTAGCCCAATTTTCATGAGAAACTACACAAAATTAGAAAAAAATACGGTTACGAGGAGTCTGCTTTCTAATACAAATGAGGGTGCCCAAATCCATTCCAACGGGCGTTCACCAGTTTCCTGTTTAGCGAGCGATCCAACAGTGCCTCCGAGTCTGACGCATGCGCGCACGCGTACGGGCGAACGCTGCATGTTGCTGACGTGAGCTTAAAAAAACAAAAGATTTAATTTTAAATTGCTATAACTTTGAACGACGTATCCATTTTCAATTCCGTCTACACCGGTGTGTTTTACGTGACGTGACGAACAAAACTAGATTCCCCTTGTATATGTTTCAAAAAAAAAATTTTAATAGCAAATTATATGTACTAACTTATAACATATAGCTTATGAAGTTGTATAGAATAATTTATCGTAATAACTTATGCACATAAGTTGTATAGAATAACTTATTTACACAAGTTATGTTTGATAATTTTTTTTACATAAGTTGTGTTCCATAACTTTTGTGTTTCTAAATTTTGGTATAAGTTATAAGCTAATTTGTTTCTTTGTGTGTTAATAACTTTGTGATTGCAAGTTTTGACATAAGTTATAAGTTAATTCGTTCTTTTGTGTTTAATAACTTTTTTTTAAATAAGTTGTGTTTCATAACTCTTATATTTACAAGTTTATCGTATAAGTTATATGATATAAGTTATATGTTCTAAGTTAGTACACATAAATTGTCCTAGAATGAAATTTTCAAACATATGCAAGGGGTCTAGTTTTGTTCATCTCGTCGCGTAGAACACGGTTCCACGGAATTAAAAATATAATACACCGTTCATAAATTATAGCAATTTGAAATAAGTCTTTTGTGCTTTTTTTTCAATCATCGGGCTTACGTCGTAGCCAGATAAACAAGCTGAGGAACACGGAGGCGCTAGACTGCATTAAAAGTGAAGCGCGCTGCTGGAATAAATTTTTTCCTTAAACAGAAAGTGACGGCTATCAGATTTTTGATCGCTCGATGCCAGATGAGTGAACGTTCGCGAAATAGTGGCATCGACGAGGGTGGTTAGAAGAATTGTGACTAGTACAATGAGGGTGCATGAAAAAAAGTGTGACAAAAAAAAGCTTAAAAAACACGATCTTTGACTAGTTTTGGCTTATTTTGGGCCATGTATACCCTAGTTATCTTTTAGCCCAGTTCATATTTCAGCCCAGCAGGAACCAACTAGCAAAAGCATCTTATTGGGTCTCGCTCCCTCTCGCTTGTGAACCGCGAGTCACGCCGCCGCACGTCGCCTCTGCCAGGCGCCCGCCCCGCCGCGCTCCTCCATAGCTCACCCGTCTGTGCGCCCGCGCCGCCGCCCGGCACGCTTGCCACGCCGCTCGGTTGCACGTCCGCACCGTCGCTTGCAGCCCTGCTCGGCCGTGTCGTCTGCCCGTCTAAGCGTCCACCAGTCCAAGACTTGAGACTCCCAAATCCCAATCATTTGTGGACTGCTGGAAAAGCGGCTATTTCTCTAATTATCTACTTATTTTCAACCCTTTATTTATATAGCGTTAGCTGCATATTTAATTGTATTAAACAGAAAGATTATTATTTATATAAAATTATAGATTTCTCGGTTAGTTGGTTGCTATAAAATACATGATGAAGAAGACCAAGACATATGTATTTCTATCGAGTTCCTATTTCATAACTCAACGAAGAACTTAAGGATTTGAAAATTCCCTTCAAAATAGCTATTTTTCTATATGTGACACAATAGCTATTTTTTCTATATAGATTACGGTGTGGTTTTTGGCTTTTTCGTTACTAGAATTTGGTTGTACTCTTCGCAAAATCCTGGACCGCCACTGATCTTGACTATATAACGAAGTATAATCATATTACAAGCTGTATATTTTAACGGTATATAAACAGATTATGAGCGGTACGTAACAGAGCAGATGACCATCCGCGTGGCGACGCGAGCGGCGGTATCGGCGAGGGGATTCGGCTTGTCCTGTTCCCGGCGCCGGGTAGCCGGCTAACGGCAGCGACGACGTCCCTGGGCCCCTCAGAAGCGACGTGCGCGCACGGGCGCTCGGGGAGGACGGGAGATGGCGATCCACCCACCGTGCCGCTCTAGCTCGGATGGTCAACCGATCGGGAAAACTTGGCGGGCGGATTGTCTGCGAGTTCCTTTTGGCTTTTGGCCGGCGCGTAACCATTTGCAATGCATGATGGATAAAGGGCGGGCCGTACGTGATAAGCCCAGCCCGCTGCATGTGCCAGTGCTCGATTGCATGCTTTATTATTAATTCTGAGAGTCGAAACGGAAACCGGTCAAGACGCCTTTTGCAATTCCGCGGGTAAAGTAAATAAAGTTGCCGCGAGGCTAGCCATAGACAGCCGGCGGAAACGAAATTATGCGGCGCGGCGCGGTATCTTTCGGTATCAACTCCACTGGCTCCGGCGCCCCATCGATCGATCCATCTTGACTTTGTTGACTTGTTGCATATATATGAGTAGTTAGTTGTTCGAGAGCACTGAACAACTTTTTCCTGCATGCATATGGTCTAGCTCCCCAACCGCACGGCACACGAGCACAGATGATAGAAGATAGATGCTGTACGTGGAACTCGAGGTAGAGTGAATCACACACTTGAAGTTGTACACCCATGCTGTACCATGCAAATAACAAACTGCTACGTCGTACGTTATATTCATGCCCACGCGTATGCACATTTTTAATATTTTGTAGTGGGCGTATATAGTAGCTATCAGCATTCATTTCGTAGCTTCGCTTACAAGTGCAGCAAAAACTCCGCGCCCTACGTTCGCCGCCGGTACGGTACTTTCTCTGCACATGGAGCGGTTTCTACGTACTGCCGTTTCTGAGGACCGGACGTTTGTTTGTCACTCGATGGAGGAGCACTATGAGTACGTACCGGATATGCATGTATACCTAGCTGCTCTAGCCTCGATCGCCTACGTGGCTCGTATCAAACTTCATGTCTCACACGTACGTACAGTTATCGTCTCTCCCTCCTTTTGCATGCTAGCTTCAAACGCACGTCACACGTACGATAACAAAGCAGACTATTAGAGAGTCTATAAGTAACCACCAAATAAGAAGCATGTACAGTACCCTTCTTGTGTGTGTGTGTGTGTGTGTGTGTGTGTGTGTGTGTGTGAGAGAGAGAGAGAGAGAGTAGCACCGGAGTGTACATGCATGTACACACACGACAGACGGACACAGGGCTGACAGGCAAGAAGGATCGGTGCATGGGATGGGAGGCTTGCCCTTGAAACAATCGATCGATGGGCAGTTGGGGAATCACATCGCTTCGTCTTTGCCCTTTAGTACGCACGGACGCGCGTGAGAGGAGGAACAGCGCCAAGTAGAGAGTAGAGACTAGAGAGAGACGCAATGCATATATGATGAGGTGCTGCCGCTGCCTCTGCCTGCGTGGCCACACACAGCTACTCCGTAGCTTATGTACACAGGAGGAAAATCATCGCTAGCCAATGCAACTCGTGAATCGCCGGTGCCATGATCGATCGATGGCGTTTCGCGCTAAGCGCACTACACCACGAGCGAGGCTCCGTGAAAAGAGCCGGTACAGCTTTCTGTTTCGTCGTTACGCCTATATCCTTGTACACAGGAGGATTGTTCTCTCGGCCCTTTTCGATGGCGGCATGCAGTGGAAGTGGAAGGAGCAGTGGTCGATGGTACGCGTACTTGCCATGACATGTCGCGCGGGCCCCGGCGCATTGATTGCGCGCGAGGGACGTGCACATGAGACCCGGATGGGAATGGGTTCGGACGTGTGGTGCACGCCTCGCTGGGTTGATCCGGGGAGATCAACGTACGGCAAATGCTACGTTCCGCGTGTTGTCGCGTTTCCTATACAGATACAGAGTCGATCTGCGTGGCCCATGCATGCATGCATGCATGTGTGTGCGTCCGTCCGTTGTTGCAGGCCCGGCCGGCGCTCGGTACGGTGTTCCGGCCTGTCCGGTCCGGAAAACCACTCGCCTCGCCCGAGGCCCCGACCATGCATTTCCTCGATCTGCGTCAATCGTTTAATTTGGCTTGATCAGTCGTTGCGTTCAGCTAGCTTTCCATCTTTGGTCTGGATTGAGTGATCGAGTCAGTCAAGCGTGATGGCACGCTGAGGGACGTGTGTGTCCTACAAAAGATTAATTAACATCGTCATGAAGTTGTACCACCAGATTTGCATATGTTTTTATATGTTGTGCTTGTGCAAACTCGCTCGATCATACTTCGACTTTTGTTTCAGATACTAGCTAACTAAGGTACTTGGATTTTCATATGCAACATAAGCATACATCATAATCTGCAGGTACTAATATTCTACATACTTTGATTCCCAGAGTCATCTGATCTTGGTGATGCAGATCATTTTGATCGAACGGCTGTGCGGTGGTGGAGAGGGTGCTCCCGGGCCCGGACCATAGAAAGTCGCTCCTAGCTCGTTGGGGTTCAGTCTTTTCGTAGGAATCGAGTACTAGATGGTATGGTAAGTAAGAGCAATAAATGTGCTAAAGCATTCTGCGCTATCCAGGGCGGCTCTCCATGGAATCCAAATACAGACGCGATAGATGAGAACGCACACATCGGTCACCATTAGCTCTACGAATTGATACTAGTCTAAATGGTAGCTGCACTGCCATGTACTGTACTAGTACTACTACTAGTGTGAAGAAAGTTGCATTGCGAGCACAAGTTACGCGGCCGTGCTGGTGGCAAACAAAGCAGCAGTGAAATTTCTCGCGCCCGCACACCGCGCGCGCATGCATGCACATAGCAAGGCATCAGATGCGCGGCCTGTCTCTCTCTCTCTCTCTCTCACATCACACACACACACACACACACACACACACACACACAAACACACACACACACACACACACGACAGGACGATGGAGGCCGGCCGGGGTAGGCGGGTACGTTTCCTAAAACTAACCAGGCATCGGCGCTGAGCCTCGTCCCACAAGTCTTGTCCCAATAAACGCCGCGGCGCGAGCTGAGATTAATTACCGGAGCGCCCTCCGGCCACCGGCCTCCCTCCTCCGTCCCTCCCTTAGCCGTGAAGTCCTCGGTTGAGCCACTCACATTTGAGGCAACCTAGAGCGTGTGTGTAACATGCCTGCTCACACGCCTAGGTTTATAGCTACCTAGCTAGCTTAGGGCTCCAACTGCATGCACAGGTTTGGGCCGACTTTTCCTGCCCACGCTTTTACCCTGCCTGCCCCGGCCTGGTGGATGCATGCATGCAGCGCCACTGCATGGATGCACTTGGCATGCTGCAGTACTGTTGCTCACCTTCCGGGCCCTCGTCTTCTTTATAACCATGCGCCACACTAAAAGCTCAAGCGGTTCTGCCACTCCAATTCGTTTTCGTTCCAGTGTGCAGTGCAGTGCAGGCCGGTGAGAAGAGAGGTCGAGCTAGCTAGCCTTCAGTGCGAGCGAGGGCAGGGCCCGCCCGGGCCGGGAGAGATACGATGGGGCACCACTCCTGCTGCAACAAGCAGAAGGTCCGGAGGGGCCTGTGGTCGCCGGAGGAGGACGAGAAGCTCATCAAGTACATCACCACGCACGGCCATGGCTGCTGGAGCTCAGTCCCGAGACAAGCAGGTACATTACACACGCGCGTGTTCATGTATAGGCTATGATACACAGGTGCAGACACATTTGTGTGGTAGTAGTTGTTTATTTCATAATCTGCAGCTAGCTAGCAGCGTGTGCTTCTCACTAACTCACTTCACTGTGTGCGTGCTTTCATGCAGGGCTGCAGCGGTGCGGCAAGAGCTGCAGGCTGAGATGGATCAACTACCTGAGGCCGGACCTCAAGAGGGGAAGCTTCTCGCAGCAGGAGGAGGCCCTCATCGTTGAGCTCCACAGGGTGCTTGGGAACAGGTAATCCTACAGGCTACACGCAAATCAGCTATGCATACATGTGACCCTGCTGCTTTCCCTGCACGACGCAGGTCCTTTATCTATGCATGCAACTGCCCATATACAAGTAATATAATGCACAAGCACAATATATATATCGCATTAACTTGCTTGGGACAAAGGAAAGGGACGCAAATAGAAAATGTAGATAGCTAAATGTGTGCCACTGCACTACAGGTGGGCCCAGATCGCCAAGCACCTGCCTGGCAGAACGGACAACGAGGTGAAGAACTTCTGGAACTCCACCATCAAGAAGAAGCTCATCTCCCAGGCTGTGGGCAGCCTCCATCCCGGTAATAACAACACGTCCCTTCTTCCCCCACACCGCAGGTAAATCCTGTGCGGTAGTACATTTTACTGTTCCTCCCACCATCTTGCTTCGTCCCTTCGCTTTGTATGTGGACTGTGGTGTCAAATTCTTTGGTTTCTATTGTCGTTTCATCTTTTACGATCTACTACTAAGAGTATAGTGAAAAAAACACGGCTTCCTCTTTGGACAGAACAAGTTAATCTGAGAAACCGACACCGATGTTTTTCTGAAGAAACACAGACTGACACAAATCGAGCATGTCGCGGAGCACAATTCTAACATGGCTTCGCTGCAATGCTAGCCGCAGACCTGTACTACAACATTCTGGACGGAGCTGCAGGAAAGGGCCTCGCGACCGCCGGATGCGCGCCGCTGAACGGGGCGGCGGACAGAGCGTCAGCTCAAGCAGTGGTGGGCCTCACGCAGTCTCCTCCTCCCATGCTGCACAACAACCACCCCGCTGCGTGGGCGGATTTCGTCTCCCAGCCGCTCTTCCTCCCCGGCCACGGCGGCGTCCACGGCGGTGGCGGCGATCTCCAGTACGCCGCCGTCGACGACGAGTTCGTCAAGCAGTGCGGCCGCGCGGCGGATGCCTACCCGCCTGAGGACGGCGGCGGCGGTGGCGCGAGCCAGTGCAAGCCGATAGCTGCCGATCTCGTGCCACAACAGGCGGAAGGCGCCACGGCGCGGAGCCTGATCCCGGCGGTGTTTCTTGAACCCAAGTGTGCCGCCGGCGATTTCATGCCCGAACCGGCTATGGCTCCAGTGATGGACTTCATGGAAGCCATCCTGGCGGGGTCGTCGTCGACGTCGGCTGCCAGGGCTTCGTCTCTCGACAGCTTCTCGGCGAACGCCAGCATGCAGTCTCATTGTTGGATTCCCTGAATTCATCTTAGCACTTACTTCAATTCGATAGATGGATGATTCATCATCAAGCACCAAGTATCAGATATAATTACGTATAGAATTTATGAAATAATTAGTATAGATTTAGGTTTCTCTCAGGGGTAGTAACAACATAAGTTACATGTAAATATGTTTACGTATATAACGTTATAATGTGTAGTGAAGGTAAGCATATACTCCTATATAAGTGGGTGTCGGTCACGTGCCAAGAAGGAATAGTACTTGAAACTCCTTTACCGCTATTTGTAATGTGCATGTTATTGAACAAGGATGAGCGGCTAGAGATTCTTATATTATTCAATAAAGTGTACCTCTTTTTTTACTTGCATATGAATGATGCACACTATATACATTCTTTTTCGAGAGTTGCTATATATTTCAGGTGCTTTAATTTTTCTAGGAACAATTTTACACAGCCAACTTGTATAATTAAAAGGACAACCAACGAGAGACAGTTCACAATTTTCTTCCATAACTACATGTTAATTGAACAACAACAAAAAATTCAGGCATCTAATATATAGGAGAAGTGTTATTTTTACTTGCCAAGTGGCATACTTCGGCTCAAATCTGAAAATTGTTGCAACAAGGTTCCACGAGTCTAACTTCAACTAGTTTGTATAGCGATAGCTAAATCAAAATTTACATTAGGGACTAAAAAAAATTTGTGGTCGTGCCGAGGCACGTTTTTCATTAAGCAAAAGTAGAGTTTAACAATACAAAGCTTGGACTGTAATTGGTGATTACTTAGCTAAGACATCCCATGAGATCCCTCGGTTGTGATTACAAATAAACTACTTGGCGACAACGTTAAGCTACTAGCACGACAGCAAACAACAAAGTAGGCCCTAAACCAAGCGGACTAAAGGGCATTGTCCTCCAACCTAGTGAAATCCAACTCCATGGCCACACGATCAGAGAATAGCGCTTGAAGGGCCTCATGCTTAGAGGCCGACAACGGAGCAATGAAGATGGCCTGAAACCTGTCGAAAGCCTTGGGTCCAGTCTCTACGTGCGCATGCAAGAGTTAGAAAAGCAGTTAGGACTAAATTTATCCAGGCATATCAAAAAAAAGGGTGGATGCATTTTTTTTTCTAGGAAATGGAAAACTAGAGGGTTTCTCTAACCCCTTCTTCCACGCAAGGTTTGCCAAGTCAACAAATATCTCAACAACCTTTGTCGCCAAACTAGAGGGGCAATCGCATCTTTTCCACCGCCTACGTGCGTCTGTTTTAGGTAATAGCAAAAAGTCAGGAAACTTCTGCGTCTGTAGAATTTTCATCAATGGAGATTGGACAGTCGACAACATGTCTGTCCTTGAGAAAAGTGGGAGCCCACATGCACGCCACGAGTCTACGTGTCCAGCGACAGAGAGCAACAGGTCGATCACGAGATCAAATCACCCCTTGCACTCAGAAGCTCAGAGGCCGCCTCAAATCGTGAAGCTTGCACTGCTTGCGTTGCGAGCAGAAAGTATGCAGAAAACATAGCGCGTCATTGAGTTCGGCCTTCCTGTTTTCGTTACGCACGTCCGGGTCTCTCGCGTCACCATCACTGCACGAACGCAGCCGTTCGGCGTGGCGCCGCTACGGCGCTACGAGCCTCGTGTGCCCCCGTGACGCGCCCTGCCACCACACCCAGATAGGCGGACCGCGGACACCAGCGGGCAGGCCGCCACACCCGTGCGGGCGTGCGGACGTGCCGTCACGATTTTTCCCCAACAAACCTTTGTTCTCGGGGCGGGACAGGCGCCCGTGTTGCCAATGGCAAAGCCCGTCACGGGCCAGCCGTCGGCGGGCTTCCCGAACCTGATGCGATATGCACGCAAAGGGAAAAAAAAGTTCAATTTACATCCTCAAGTATCGTGGTTGTTCGACTTTTCCTCCCTAGTCTACTAAACCAGTTTTTTTTAATCTCCTCGACTTTTGAAAACCATTCACTTTTGCACCTTAATCGCTTTTGATGGCGGTTTTGCTGACGTGGCGTCACGTCAAATGAGGAAAATCAGACTAAATTGAATGTTGAAGGAGATAAATTGAACTAGAAATTTTTTATAAAAGATATCTAAAATTTTATTTTAAAAATTAGAAAATTGTACCAATATATTTTTACATGAAAAAATAATGCAATTAAAAATCCTAAAATCTGGTTGAATGAATTTTTGAATTATTTATAAAAAATATTTCGAGTCCAATTTACCTTCTTGAACTTTCAACTTCTGATTTAGCTCTTCTAACTTGGCGCTACGTCAACAAAACCACCATCAAAATTGCCAAAGTGCAAAAGTGAACGGTTTTCAAAAGTTGAGAAAAATTAAAAAAAAGATTTAATTTTTATAGATCAGGGATGAAAAGAAAACGACCGCGATAGTTTTTAAATTGGACTTTTTCTACATCCAAATGACACGCCCGCGCGCCCGGTGGTTGTGGTTTGGCCCCATAGGGCCATGAGGGGTTTGCTGGAGAGAGAAAATATTTTGCTTGGTTTTGATACCGATAATCCTTGGTTGAAACAGAAAATCACTGCATGGTGATAATCCTTGATTGGAGCGAACGGGCCTGGAGCATGGGCTATACTTGTTTGTTTACATAATACGGCCAGGAGCACATGACAATTGACGCACGTGACAGCAGCTTGCAGCTGAGAGCATGTGTGTGTTGGGGGCAACCGGGCCATCGAATGTCGGGAACATGGAGCGGTACAGAACCATGCATATGCATTGAGAACGGGCGGGGCACGTACATACCACATACCAAAGAAAACAGCGTGAAATTCATGCACAACGGCAGCACAGATCACGGCCGGGCCGACCGGTAAACAGTAGGCTCCGGTCACATCGCACCACGGACACAAACGATCGACGAACAAGTGGCGCCGGTGCCGGCCCGTGCATCGCCGTTCAGTGCAGCATGTGCACCTCGTCGGGGGTGAGCGGCTCCACCTCGCAGGCGGAGATGCCCTCGCTGGGCAGCTTGGGGAAGCCCTTCAGCGTGCAGGCCTCCTCGCAGCTCTTGGTGCAGGCGTTCTCCCGGCACTTGCCGGCGCACTGGCCCATGCTCGGGATCCGCATCCGCGTCCGCACGCACAGCTTCATGCACTCGCAGATGCAGTTCTGCCCGGCCTCCGCGCGCGGCACCACCGCGGCCAGCGCCAGCACGGCGAGCACCAGCATCGCCGCCGCTGCCCTCGCCATGTCGGCGGCGCCCGCGCGCGTTTTTCCTCGAACAATAATTCCCGACGACGTGCGTACGCAGACGCACGCGGCTCCCGGCCGGGTCTCAGCGTTGGCTTTCAAGGGTCGATGTGATGTGTGCATGCGAGATGTCTCCCTCGGATCCGTAGCCATCTAGGTTCCACTGTTTAATTGGCTATAGTTGCACCGGTCGGCCTTGAAACCAGGCACCCCCGTTGGTTAATCACGGGATCACTAATAATAGCTTGTGTTTCTGGGGTGGGGTGGGGGGGCACTGAAAGACCGTAAGCACGGTGTGATCACTGTAGCAATCTTCATTCGTAATGCTCTAGCTATAGAGCACAGTGTTAATTCTCAGCTGTACCATGAGATGAGAGGAGTACAGGCTGCAGTACAGACAAAATAATGCTGGCCAAGTCTCATTATTGAACGTGGCACCAGCAGGACGAGGGTGAAAAGAGAACACGAGGGCTGGACCATCCTGCAGGCTTCTGACACGATAGCTGCGAAAATAAAACGTACAGTAAGATGGTTCCAATGGAATGTTTGAATGGTAAAGTTTTGTCAGATCTCATCCGGTCAGCATGTTAACTGTCATCAGCGCTAGTCTACGGCAGCTCGGTCTTTACGCGCGCGTTAACTCGACACGACACCTTTTGACGCCATGTCACCTTTTGAGCGCGCACTACAGCAGCCACTGGCTTCCTCGAGTGCCGGTTGCACTCGGGGAAGACCTGTTGCACTCGGGGAAGCCTTCCTCGACTATAATATTCGGGGAAGACCCTCTGGCTAATCTTCATCCGATAAAGGCGTCTTTTTCGAGTGCCGAAAATCGTGCACTCGGGGAAGGCTTTGCCGAGTGCCGTGCTGGCACTCGGGAAAGATTTGACGTTGTTGGCCGACGGCCGACGGCCGACACCGTTTTTTTTATTTTCTTCCCCGAGTGCAACACTCAGGGAAGATTTTTGAATTTTTTTAAATAATCTTTGTCGAGTGCCGCAGCTCAGGCACTCGGCAAAGAAATTTATTAAAAAAAATCCTCTTTGCCGAGTGCCGCAGCTCAGGCACTCGGGGAAGCCACCTCTAAAAATTCTTTTTTTTGTTTTTTCCTTTTCCATATAAACAACAAAGCATATATATATCACAAACCACAAATCAACAACAATATATCACAAACCACATTTATATATCACAAACGACTAATTTTGTCCGAAATCCACAATATATTACAAACCACACGTTCAAAAGTACACACTATTCCAAGTTCACAAGTTCAATACATAAAAACGACTCCGCAGGCCGCTCACAGCGACTGTGAGGGTTGGGACGCCCCAGGGTGCGATCCCGGCGAGTGTCCAGGTGGGGATGGCCCGACGTGCGATGCCGACGACCCTCCGACATGGTTCGACGCCGCCCCCGATTGATTCTGCAAAAAAGAGAAGAGATTGCACGTGAGTGACAAGATAAAAATGTAAGGAGTTTAAAGAAAAGTTGAAAATTTCGGCAGCACCTCCCCTGCACGGGGAGGTTTCCAAAACCTGCAAGAAAAACGTCGGCACGAAGGCCGACAACCACATTTCCGGCACGAAGGCCGACACATCAACAAATCCGGCACGCAGTTGTAATTTGATCATGGTCACACAATCCCAAAAGTTAATTACAATGCTATTATTAGCAAATTTGGTCGCTGCTACCTTATCTATCGAGCTGAGCTGAGCACACGCCCCAGGCAGGACCGACGCCTATGTGGTTGTTGTCGGTGGACGGACCGTATGCCAAGAAAGGAAGCCCCGAGATCGAGAGCTGAGCTGAGCTGAAGCGGACCAGATTTAGCCAGTCGGTGGCCTCAGCTCCACCCTCAGCGGACCAGATTTGGCTTTATTTTCTTCACATATCACAATGAATTAATTAGCTGAATCACCTACCATTCATCAACCGGGCCGGTCAGCTCAGGAGTTCGGACACCTGCAAGTAAACATCGATCGATTCGCTATCTATACAAGCTATATGTCGTGCTAACTTGACAAATTAATAGAGAGCATGCACAACATGCATGGCATGTGGTAGTAGTGTGCCAATGGAAGTACCTTTATACTCTACTGCTCGCTGATCTGTACATGCTCCAATGTCAAGGATCGTTCAAGGAGTTAATATTAATACCACCAGATCCAAGGTTTAGGTAGGCCCTGCCCATTCGAATCAAGAAACATATTAATACCAACGATGAAAAGAACATATCCCGCTACGTACTGTACTGGGTTAATTAGAAGTCTCATATCGAGGTCAGGAATATATGTTTGCAATTAACCTCCACTAATAAAAGCCAGCCACATCATCACGATCCATTTCTCGCCACTTTCAAGATCAATGAGAGGGAAACACAGTGAGTTTTTTTTTGAGCTGAGCTTCAGTTTCTGAAAGGGCCAAATAATATAGATATGGCCGGTCAGATTATTGTCAAAAGCAAGAAAAGGCCAGGTAGATGTCTGGGTTTTAGGCATCCGACGTCACAACTTGCTCGAAACCTTCTTAATTTTTTATCATAGCATCTACATGCGATAACATGACGCCCCGACAAGTTTCGTGATTTTCGGACTTTGTTCGGATTTTATATGATTTAAATACACTTTTCCCGCAAGTACCTCGTCATGTTACGTCAACAAGATACTCGACATTTCATGTGAGTTCCTGAATACGGCCTCAACATATACCAAATATCATGAATATTATTTTTTGAATCACCAAATTCCATTATTTCATGCACCTGCAGTTCAAATTTGAAGTATGAAAAAAAATCAACGAAACGAAAAAAATTAATTAACGAAATATACCAAAAAAGTCAAAATTGTCCCAAATTTGAACAAGGAGTTTTAAATAATGTGAGAAGGCCTCACAAAAAAATGGGGCAAAAAAAAAACAAAAAAAAAATTCTTCCCCGAGTGCCTTCCTTGACACTCGGCAAAGAGGCCCTTTGCCGAGTGCCATAACAGGGCACTCGGGGAAGCCAGCCTCTTTGTCGAGTGCCAGGGTGCGACACTCGGCAAAGCAATTTTTTAGTTTTAACGACGTGGGCGGCTGGGCCGTCAAATAACATTTTTCTTTGCCGAGTGCCGCTCTTCCCGAGTGTTGCACTCGGGGAAGAGGGCCTTTGCCGAGTGTCGCTCTTTACCGAGTGCTAGGCACTCTGCGGCACTCGGCAAAGCCTCTCTTCCCCGAGTGCTATTCTTTCCCGAGTGCAACACTCGGGGAAGATTGGCTTTGCCAAGTGCTCGATTTTTGGTACTCAGGGAAGCCTGCGACACTCGATGAATTTTACCTCCCCCGTAGTGGCGACTGATGTGCTACTATACAAATCAACAGAACCGCGTTGGCGTGGATTAGGTCCGGGACCGGGCGTGCCCGGCCAAGGCCAAAAGCCGCCGACCGTGCATGCATGGTCCAGGTCCTGCGGTCCTGCCGCTGCAGTCGTCGGCGGCTCGGCTCGGCGCCATTGAGACGCGCCAACGTCGCGCCCGACGCGAACGCGATCGACAGGCTTCATCAGCAGATCAGCTCTGCCTCTAGCGCCCGCGCCGCGCTGCCCTGCCGGCTGCCACTCGGACCGACACTTTAAAAATAGCCTTTTTAATTCCGTCGCGCGCGGCACGCCGGTGTATCCGACCATTCCGACGCCAACGCCACAGCTGCGTCGTCGATCCTTTCGTCCGGACCCTGCCCTGCCGCCTGCCGCGCGGCAGCGGCCAGCGCGCGCGAGGACCCATCGATATACTCCTACTCACCGGCCCCGGTCTCACATGAGCTCTGAAAAGGGGTCACATGGCGCTGCCCTGGGCCGGCGCGACCACCGGCGCCGTGCACATCCATCGGCTGGCCTCCGAATCCCAATTATGCGATCCGCACGTACAGTACAACCGATCGGCACTACATACATGCGTCATGCGTGCGCCCCCACTCAGACCCTCCATTATTCTGCCATCGAGCGTACTAAACGATAGCATCCTCTTCGTCCCTGTCCTCGCCTCTCGTGAAGTCTCGTCTCATGGGCAATACTCCTATAATTGAATAAAAAAACACTCCTATCCTGTACTTTAATTAGTTTGACGAACGAATACACAAATGTATTTTTCGGAGGCTGCTGCACCAACGTTGCCGTCCTGCCGACGAACAAACGGTAGCCCCACTCGCGCGCAGAGTGTCGTAAATGCTGGAACGGGGGGACGTCTTTTAACATATTTGTAAATGCAAGTTGAATTTTGGTCTTAAGACTTTTGTGCATGCCCACAGCACCATGTCCCTACCTACTATATATATATATATATATATATATATATATATATATATATATATATATATATATATGTATGTATGTATATATTTTTAACTTTTTCCAAGCATTTTGAGCACTATGGATTTCACAGTTTGTAAAACACATTTTCAGTTTTGATATGACTTGTCCCAACCGTGACGTGCCGCAAGTTCTACCGCTCACTCTGTTTCAAACTACAATTCACTAAGTCATATTAGATAATGGCCCTGTTCGTCTGAACTTATCAGTCTGGCTTATCAGTCTTATAGAACAGTGTTTTTTTTTCACAACAAATCAGCTTCAGCCGGCTTATCAGGCGCAGAAACCATTAGCCGGTTATGTATACCAAGTCAAACTTTTCTAATCTAGATAAGTTTATAGAAATATTTACTACACGTTAATGAAACATACAAATATGTCTTGATACTATACTAATTTGAACTTGTAGATATTAATGTATTCTTCTAAAGTCAGAGTAATCTCTTAAAATAAACTGAAGTAAATTATAATTTGGATTGGAAAGAGTACTATCATGGATGTGTGCTCCGTACTGTACATTGTTATTCGAACCTAAGGTACGACTCTTTAGTCAAACAAACCAACACTGCAATTGAGAATGACTGATTAGATCGGCCAGAAACCATTAGCCGGTTATGTATACCAAGTCAAACTTTTCTAATCTAGATAAGTTTATAGAAATATTTACTACACGTTAATGAAACATACAAATATGTCTTGATACTATACTAATTTGAACTTGTAGATATTAATGTATTCTTCTAAAGTCAGAGTAATCTAACTTAAAATAAACTGAAGTAAATTATAATTTGGATTGGAAAGAATACTATCATGGATGTGTGCTCCGTACTGTACATTGTTATTCGAACCTAAGGTACGACTCTTTAGTCAAACAAACCAACACTGCAATTGAGAATGACTGATTAGATCGGCCGGTGATAAAAAGTGTGTCCACATATAAAAAAGCGAAGACCCTGATACTGAACAGGCATCGGTAAAAGAAAGGCTCTCTCTCTAGTTAAAAAAAAATGGCTCTCTAGCTAATCCCAAAGTAAAAAAATTCCTTCAGTGGTTTAGGTTTCAAGTTCCAAATGGACGGTTAATCATCAAATGACGACGCAACCGGATTTGGCTGAATCTGTACTCGACATTTCCCCAAATCTGTGCAGGTCAGAAAAGGAGCCTCACCCAACACGTAAAGCGGGCCCGGCCTTGAAATCCATAAAGAACGCGCGCCCAGCCCATTTGGCTATTTCAGTCCATTTCCACCGTGACATTTAACTTTTTGCTATCTCTACCGATGGCACTTCTTCGTTTATCATTTTTATACGGTCACTTACATATTTGTTATCGTAAACAGTAACCCTCCTATTTTTTTACCATTTTTGTTGATGTGGCATGCCACGCAGCCTGCTAGCGTGGCAGCCCCTCTCCTCCCGCTGCTGCTTCTCTCTCCCTCCACTCGCTGACATGTGGGCCCCACCAATCAGGTTCATCTTCAACCTCTGGCCATCGGAGAAACTATCCCCATAGTGCAGAGGTCTTCATGCAATAAACGTGAATCATTTTTCACTGTCTCTCTCTTATCCATCCGATGATCTCTCCTATGTTCTCTGCTAACCGAACTAAAGCGTGGCGGGCGCGGCCGATGCGGGCTGAAATTTGAGGCGTGGCGCGGCGGCGATCACGCAAGCAAGGCAGCGGGCCAGCTCGGATGACCGAGTGGCCGATGATGTAAGCGCGGACGATGATGGCGTGTCCGAGTGTGAGCGAAGCGGTAAGCGCATGGTGGCGCGTATGGCGAGTGACCGCGACGTAATGGCCGCGTGGGCGTGTGATGCTTCATGTGGCGAAGGGACGACTTCGGAGAAGCGGTCTGCGTCTTGGTGGCAGGCGAGACTGACGGCGGCGTTGAAGGCGTGGTGGGCGCATGCGACGTGGGTCGGCAAGCGGCGCGGCGGAGAGGAGCTGTAAGGGCGGCACGACGTGGCGAGAAGGGGTGGTGGGTGCGGGCCATGTGGAAACCGGTGGTTTCTTCCCAGCGCCCAGAGGTTGAAGATGAACCTGACTGGTGGGGCCCACATGTGAACGAGTGGAGGGAGAGAGAAGCAACAGCGAAAGGAGAGGCGCTGCCACGTGGCTGACTACGTGGCATGCCACATCAGTAAAAATAGCAAAAAATTATGAATGCTACTGTTTACGATGGCAAATATGTAGGTGTCCGTGTAAAAATGACAAACGAAGGAATTCCATCTACAAGAATGGCAAAAAGTTAAATGTCCCATTTCCATAAAAACAAAAAATTGCAAAGATGACACTCGTTACGATGACACTCGGGCGAACGATAAGTAAGGGCGTGTTTAGTTCCGAAAATTTTTGGCTTTTGGCTACTGTAGCACTTTCGTTTGTATTTGGCAAAAATTATCCAATTATGGACTATTTAGGTTTAAAAGATTCGTCTCATGATTTCTCGGCTAACTGTGTAATTAGTTTTTTTTTCGTCTATATTTAGTACTCCGTGAATGCACCGCAAGATTCGATGTGACAGGTACTGCACAAAATTTTTTGGATTTTGGGTGAAACTAAACGGGGCCAAAGTGCATCTATATTGTATGAATGTGGTCCCGACCAAAATCGCCCATTTCCACCTCCCTCCACCCTCCCCGTCACCACCGCCGCTTCCTTCCTTCCTTCCTTCGTCCGTACACCTCTCTCTCCCTCTTCCCCTCTTCGCCGCTCCTCCCGATCCCCGGGACAAGCGGCAGGCAAATAACCTCTCTCCGGCGACGAGGCCGATGGAGTCGACCTCCGGCGAGGACGCTCCGAAGCGCAACCCGCTCCCGGCCGCGCTCGTCTCCAACCTCCAGTCCGTGCTCGCCGCACGCCGCACGCCCGCGGCCGAGGTCAGCACCGCCGCCGCAGCCGGCGAGGCTGAGGCCTCGGCTCCGGAGGCGGAGGCTTCCGATGCCCCCGCGGGAGATGGGGCGCCGGCGAGGCCCATCGTGCTGCTGACCTGTGCCGGGGGGATCCGGTCGGCGGGTCTCGCGGCGCTCGTCGACGCCCTCGTTGCCGGCGGCCGCTGCGACGTCCACGTGTGTGCCCCCGAATCGTACGTGCTGCAATCCGAAAACCCAGGCATCTTAATTTCCCCTTACATTGCTCTCATGATCGCAAAATATTGTTTGCTTCCATTGGATTTGTTGGGAGATTAAGTAGTCCCGATTTGGGACGCCCTGTTTGCTGCCATTACATAGTGATTTTGTTGCCATTTGCCTGTGATTGTGGAGCTGAACTGATATGCGACCCTTTATTTATTTGAAGGGACAAGCCAGCCTGTGGCCACTCAATTACCATCCGTGAAACCATCACCGCGACATCCGTGGATTTCACAGGTGCTAAAGCTTTTGAGATATCAGGTGAGGGCCGTTCATTTAATTGTGCGCAATTTGGGTGACGCATTCCTGAGCCCGGTGATCCAATATTTTATCTTTGCTGACTTTGATCGTTGCAAACTTAGGCACGCCGGTTGACTGTGTCTCATTGGCCTTATCTGGGAGGCTGTTTCCATGGTCGTCTCCTGCTTTGGTACCGTACTTGTTTATTCTTTCGGAATTGGATTTCCAAATGTTACTATCATGATGGTAATTTGATTTGTGGTTTTAAAAATAACAACTTAAATTTGTTTATACAGGTGATCAGCGGTATCAACACAAGACCAAATTGTGGATATGAGATGTATGCTCTTATTTCAGAAATGGTCTATTTACTGTCCATTTTCTATTTTATTATTGATTCATTTTAGAACTCTATAGGTTCCACTCTTCTGCCATTGCTGCTGCAAGGGAGGCCTTAGTGTATGGGGTGCCTTCAATTGCAATCTCATTGAATTGGTGAGATGCTCCTACCTGTATTGAATTTATATTTCAAATTTTCTACATCATTAATGTGACTGGTCCATGACAATAACAATACGTGATGGGTATATGTGACTAGGAAGAAGGATGAAACCAAAGACAGTGACTTCAAGGATGCAGCTCAGGCCTGTTTACCATTGATAAATGCTGCCTTGGATGACATTGTGAAAGGAACTTTCTTCAGAGGATGCCTACTGAATATTGGAGTTCCAAGTGCACCATCTGCAAATAAGGTCATTTTCTCAATGATACTCTGAATCTTAAAACTCCACTTTAGAGGGAATGGTTACACCAAAGCTCTAGGATTACGTGAACTCATTTGGTTATTGTACTTTGGCACTTAGTTAAAATCATATCTTGGGCCCACCATTGTGACCGGCTAGAGCAAGAAGTTGCAATTATAAGATCGGCTAAGCATCATATACTGCTTCAATTTCCTCACTATTACTTAGGACTTACCTCACTTGTTATATCGACTTAAAACATTATAATAATCATGTGGATCTATCTGACATCTTGGCTCTGAACTTCCTTGAGTACCATGTTGCCATGTATGCTGTAGCCTAGTGCGGCACTGTCTCAATCTGTGTCCCAGTGGGTTAATTGCTGCTTTCATCCATTATAAGTTCATAGCTTGACTTTGACTGCTGAGCTGTGACAGAATGCTAAGCCTGTAGGCATTACCTTAGTGGTTCATCCACAAGCGCACCAATATTCCTCAAGCTTTCTTCATAAGAATATGCTAATCATATGGTTTATTCAATTATCTGCAAAGCATGTCAACCTCTTGCTAAGTAGAAGCCAATTATGATCTGTGGACATAATGATAATGGCGAATCACATCACTTGAATTTATCTTGAGTTGATTTGCATTCTTCCCCTTTAAATCTAATTACTATTTAATTTTATATCTCTTCTGATGCCAGGGTTTCAAGTTGACCAAACAGAGTGGATACAGTCCTGCTCAAAATTGGCAAGCTGTGTCAGCAAGCAGGCCCTCATCTGCTACTCACTTCATGGGCATGCATCAAAGCCTCGGTATTCAGCTGGCTCAGCTTGGGAAGGATGCATCTGCAGCAGTAAGATGATATCTCTTTATGGCACGGAAAATTTTTCATGTCCTGGCCAGCACATTATTGAACTGATTGTTGCCTTCATCTTTAGGGAGCTGCACGCAGAGTTAGTGCTCAACGAAAGATGGTCGAGGTTGAGTCTGTTGCAGCTGCTGGTAAACAAGAGATTCGAGAAGTAGTGAAGAAGTTATTCCGTGCTGAGGTGATTACACTTTCTAGTCAATTCGACATAGAAATTAATCACATTGTTGGTTGTTGTACAAACTGCTTCTTTGACTTGAGCTATTCTACTGTTATTTATATTTACGAGTCTAGAAGGCATACTGAGAACTGTTTTCTTCTCTTGTTACATCAAAATGCAGTTTGTCGAGAAGCGACATGAAGATTTAGATGAGGATGTCGATTTGAGAGCTTTGGAGAATGGATTTGTGAGCTCCCATCTCCCTCCCTCCCTCCCTCTCTCTCTCCTCGTTCAAATGGCTAAGTATTCACCCCACTTTACAACCTACAGATATCTGTCACCCCTCTGAATGTTCATGGGCAAGTGGAGCCTGAAATGGGACCCCCAGCTTCAGATTGGCTCTCAGCAGCTGTATCTCTAGACAAAGAAAAGGACGCTGCTCCAGCTGCAGCTGACCAACAAGATGTTGCAGCTGAGGAAAAGGAAGCTCCTTTAGCAGCCTAACACGCAGACATGTACACACTCCGTAGGTGTCTTAGTTCTTGTGGTGACGACGATCTTTTCTCTCCTGTTTACCAGTTTGGTTTGTTTAGTATTTTGCCCTCAATATTTGTTTGGTGCAATGTCTATTTTTTGTTCATCTTCTCTGCCGATTACCGGCTTCCTTGGCCGTGCAAATGATTTGATGCAGGTGGCCCTACATTTTGGATGTAACGATGTAGGCTATGGCAACTACCAGATGAATACTGCCCAGCCCCCACTATTTTTTCAGTGTGGTTTGTTCTAGGAAGGTGTTGTATTCAGCATGGCATATGTGATTGATTTTGTCTTGCTCCCGTCTGAACTATGGCCACCAAATGTATTTTGACCGCTTGTAACCTGGAATGCAATTGCAGCCATTTAATGTGGTAGTGTCATCTTGACTCCTGTAGTTTTTCTTTTGCTATCAGGTCGGGGTTTTTTATGCTTGTGTCTGGACATGCCTGAAATCACAAAATTTACCAGGCACAAGTTTCCGGGCCCATGTTGTAAGCTCACTTCGTTTGTGACATTGCCTTGCCTGTACACCAAAACTATCCAGTTTTGTCACATTCGTAGTGACCAAAGAACCATCTTTCGTTGTCTGACATTAATTAACAAATAAAAAATCCAGCATCAGTGACAATATATGGGCAACAGATAAATGTGCAAAGGTTGCGTCCAATCAAGATGATTTTTTTCCCATTGAACTCAAAAATGGTGACACTGCGTGCACGAGCACCCTTTAGTTGATTTTGCACGTGCTGCAACGGCAAAACCTGTTACGGTTCATGGCGAATTACAGCTGAAAAACTCTGCTTGCGTACACCTCGTTTTCCTAAAAGCATCTATACATCTCTAGAACTGTACAAAAATCTGTGTGAAGTCTTGTTTCAGCTTCCAAAGAAGTCGACGGGAGCAGTAGACAGCAGCCGTAACTGTTCAGTTCTGCACTGCCTCCATTGCCAAGCCACCCAGACCCAGGAGGTAACTCCCGGTCACAGGTGAAGCTGGCACACTGATGTTTACACCTTTCGCCATTTTTCACATATATTCACGATATATAAGTACGAAATCTGGCTTGGAAAAATGTGTCCAATGCGTATTTCTTCGATGCGCACATCATCTCATGAGCTGCTTGCAGGCTGACTATTCTGAATCAATCCTAAACCTTTGTAGCCCAACGTGTTCGCTTGAGCTGCCTGTTGACAGGCCCCTCTCTTTGTTGAATCCAGCTCTCCCTACTCTTAGAGGACCTGAACTTGAGTATCTTCGGAAAGAACCAGACACATCCGTAGCATCATAACGCGCTGATGAAGTGAACAGCTCGGCAGATAGCGTTGGGTCAACGTCTATATCCATACTTGCTCTACTCATAGCCTCAACATCTTGGATATGCAAATCTTGGCTAAAGCTTGTGGATTCATTGAACTCGCTGCCTTCATTGCATACCAACTTTAGAGCTTGAACTACTTCACCCATGAATGGGCGCTGATCCACCTCAGGCTGAACACACATAGAAGCAATGGCTGCTACTTTTGCGATGCTGTCAAATGGAATGCTGCTCCCAAGTGAAGGATCTATGATTGATTCCAGACCATCCCTGCTTGTCAGAAGAGAACCAGCCCATGCGACTAAGTTTTCTTGTCCAGCAGGTCTTAACATATCTACCGGTTTCCTCCCTGTAAGGAGCTCAAGAAGAACAACACCGTAGCTGTAAACATCACTCTTTACAAGAAGATGCCCAGTCATTGCATATTCAGGAGCAACATACCTAAAAGAAATTGACAATAAATTTGTAATATAAGTTGATGATATTGAATCAACTATGAAAAAGTAAAGATAGTAAGTTCAGATTCAGCATACCCAAAAGTTCCCATAACACGAGTTGAAATATGCTCGTTTCCCTCACCCAAAGCTGTCCTTGCTAAGCCAAAGTCTGACACCTTTGGGGTGAAGTCATGTTCCAATAAGATGTTACTGGACTTGAAATCACGGTGTATGACACGTGGACTTGAATCTTCATGCAAATATGCAAGTGCACGGGCTGCACCAAGTGCAATTTTGAGCCTAGCGTCCCAATCAAACCGAGCAGCTCCCTTATCTGATCCTGATTAGAATTATAATAATATTCGATTTCAGATGTCCAAGAAAATATAGTGTACAAGCAAGTTAACTAAGAGTAGATTGAAGTCTTGAAGATAGATACTACACAACCATGATTCCATGAACCATACCAAGAATTCTAATTCACTGGCTTGTATTTTGTTGGTATAAAGTATCAACAAATTGAAACAATGCAATTCAAACTAGCACTGATAGGTATCGTGTGAGTAACAGTCATAACAGCTCTATTCCATTCCACTACAGAATATAATCTGCCTTTTCTTGTGTTAAGTGTTTGCCTCATCTACTGCACCTCTAGCCAATAAAATGACTAAATTAAGTGATGAAAGAGAAGTTATATGATGAAATGAAGAAAGTCTTAGAAAGTGAAGTTATGGCACAGAAGAAATTTTACCATGCAAGTGAGATTCCACACTGCCATTTGGAACAAGCTCATATACCAAACATCGGCTATGCCCCTCTGTGCATATACCTATCAGCTTAACCAAGTTCCTATGATGCAATCGGCTAAGCATCTCAACCTCAGCCAAAAACTCCCGGGTACCTTGCTGATCGTCCCGCTTTAAAACCTTGATAGCAACCCGTTCTCCATCTTCAAGAATACCTTCATAGACCCGCCCAAAACCACCCTCACCAATAATTCTGGACTCATCAAATCCTAGTGTAGCTCTCTCCATCTCAACCAGGTTAAACGTTTTGGCAGATCCTTTATATGCCACCAAACTTGAGCTGAAGGATGGTGATGCCGAAATAGGTCTGCTTTCTAGCCTGCTCCCCACCATTGCAGAACCAGGACCTGCATTTCCAATGCAATCATTGAGAGGGGGGGGATACAACCAGCATCATGATTAATGATTTGATAAAATTGTAACTGTAAGTCTTAAAATTTCTCAAAGATGGTCCAAGTACTTTACCAATGAAGCATGAAATTGAGTACTTAACTGAATATGCAAACATTTGTTTTTGGCTATAAAAACAACATTTTTCGCTTTCTCAATGCCCTTGAAAGCTTAAAACAGGATAAGCATATTGGTGCACTAATTTTCCGCACCTAAGGTAAGGAAAGTATGACCATTGAAGTCTGGTTGTTCTATATAATATACTACCTCTGGTCAACTTGTTATCTACGACATGATTTTATGAAACCATAAAAATTACAAACACAAATAATTATTACATTATTTAGTTTGGGAACGTGTAAGTTATATGTGTTGATTTGTGTTCAAAATACTTGCAGAATCTCTTATATTTGAAGAATTTTAAAACTATATTCTAGAAGAAAATAGTGGTCAATTATACACATCGAAACCGTGAAAGTCAAATGTGTCAAGTATTTGTGACCAGAGGGAATAACTATTAAAGATGTATTACTATCTGCTGCCACATGGACATGACTCATGTATTCATAGAAAAAAAAAGGGTGGCAACTTATGTTTTTAGAAAAAAAGGGGTGGCAACTAAGCTGCATTTTGCTGCCTTTTGAAGATGTCACACAAAGGCACGGACTAAAAAGTTAATGATAATCCACCGATAGAACTACCTGCGGGTTTTGTTGGCACAAGTGATGCTTCAGTTAAATGGCTGCGGTTTCTAAGCTTGAAATAAACCACCAGTGCAGCTCCAGCACATAAAATAAAAGCAAATACACTTGATAGAATAATTATTATAATTATGCCCCTGCCTTTTCTTTCTCTATGATTTCCCACATCAGCAGCAAGTGGATGTAAACTTGGATCATTTACATTGCTAAGACCATTGTTCATGCTTGCTGCCGGTGGTGACGGAGGAAGACCTGCACGAGTAAATGATACCGTGCATATCACAACCATGCTTTGTAAGGGAGAAAAGAGCAAAAATGAACTAATGACCTGAATAATACAAAATGAATTGTGTTTCAAATCAAATACTGGAATATCAGCAAGAAAGGTTGAAGAGGCTAAAATAATTAGAAATTTGATATTCAGTGGAACAACGTGAAGTTGTGGAGAACTCTCACCTTGGTAAAGAACATACAATACGTCATACTTTCCAAAATGCGCAGGGTTTATGATGACCTGCTTATTACAAAACCTTTCAAATACTAAAAATGCTGTCGCGTTGTCAAATTTTGGTCCCAGTGGCACAAGATCAATAAAGACGATTGTCTTTTCAGGGTCATCAGGTGCAGCATTTGCTCCCATAACACGAACTTGACTTTGATTCATGAACACTCCAGATGCAATATCTTGTGCAAGTTCAGGGACAAGTGAAAAGAACGTGTACAATGCTATACCAAAGCGAAGCTCAACTTTTATTGGCAACACGCAGAGGCATGTCATTCCTGGAGGACTATTGGTCAGAGGATCTGAGCAGGTGCAGTCTAGCAAAATCAAAACGAAGATGAACAGACCAAAGCTAAGCAATCAGTAGCTGATTTTTTGAATTTATGAACGCAAATGGCACAAAAGTATACTCAGCATACATGAATTTGTTGGTGGAGGTAGCAGCGATTGACTAGGCGCTGGTGCCAAAGCCTTGGGCTTTCTAAATGCAGGAGTGTCAGGTGGATGCGCAGGCGGTAGAGCTGATCCTGCATAGGTGTAATGGTAGCAATGGAAGCCTAAATTACTTCTCGCAAAACAAGATGTAATCCATTTTGATATAGGTTGGAAACTTATTTGAGGCATGTGTGACCAATATTTCAAACACATTAAAAAGTGCATAGTAGGGCAAGACAAGAAGTCTTGACCAATTTTGTGGATTAAATGTTGAATCTGAATCAAGTGCATGATTATTGTTGCAAACGTCTTTCGCTTATTCATATGCATGAGATGTCTCATAACTTTCATGTTTCAATTCAACGCTCAATGTTGGCAGCATGCATGCTCAAACATAACCAAACTTCAACATGTTAGTATGAGCACAAAATGGTGATGCTTGTTCAGTGCTGTTCCTAGGGGGCATGGCTGGAACATTTGTTGCAGCTAGAACAAATGGCAATGTAATGAGCAAGAGATAACCTGGAGAATATGGTGGTGAATGGTATTGATTGGGATGACGTGGAGCATGAGCAGAATTTCCTTGTCCCTTTCCTTTTGACGGAGGCAAATGTACAGGTGCAGGTGCAGGTGCAGGTGCAGGACTACCAGGATATCCATGGCTTGGTGCAGAAGTATTGTTACTTTTACGCGGAGCAGGACGAGGAGAACCTGCATCAAACATCACTTTACTGAGATGAACATATAATTTTCATTAGTATTTTTAGTACGTACATACCTTTGTGGTGTCTATGATTTGCAGGTGGTAAATAGCTCGAATGTTCCTTTGGAGGTGCAGCAATGCCATGTCCTTTCCTGTGGATCATGGGAGACTTTGAGGGAGAAACAGCAGGTCCTGCACGACATTAACTTCATGAATCATCAACAATAGGTTCATAATGGGACTAGGTGTGGTTGGTGCCTGGTAGTATACCTTTCACATACGAATTATTTGCAGGCAAGTGGTGATGCCTTCTCTTTACTGGTGCCACAACTGGAGGTCCATGAGTTTTTCCATGTATATTATTCGCAGGCATGGAATTTTGATGACTAACATTTGAAGGTGCTGTAACTGGAGCTCCATGATCCTTGCCATGTTTAGCTGGATGAACTGATGTTTCTGGAGAAGCTGCTGGACCTGCACAATGTAGCAGAATAAATAGTATGTTGATCATACTCTAGAAGATAAAATATACTTGTACGAGTACTGCTTGAGAAACATACTTTGCATTCGTCGGCCAATTGCAGGCAATGGCGGTGAAGTCACTGATACTGGGGGAACAGCAGGTCAGACATAAGCACATTGTTGGAACTGACTCAGAAATGAGCCAATATAATTTTCATGAACTCTCAAACACATATGGTACACTTTTGATATGTGGAAAATTTAAAAACACTAAATGCTTTGGGGGCCAGCAATCTGAACATCATGCACCTTATATGATCTGTGGGTGGAGCACTTTGTGATCGTGAAGGAAGTGAGCCTGACTATCATATTGTTATCAAGTCTTGAGTTTTAGGAGAAGGCGGCCTTCTATATGTGCATAATGTGAAGAGGATGAAGGGACAGAGGATTTCCCTGGAGTGACGAGGTGCAGCAACATGTGTACCATACTATGGATGGCAGGAGAAGTGATTGGTGATGAAGAGAGCAGATATTTGTACATCATCTGGATATTACTATTCCATTATCTAAAAAGATATTGTATATCGTACGGTTGGAATGTGTAAATGCAAATGATAAAATCAGAGCATGGCCTAGTTGAGTCCAGTACAATTTGAATGTGAAGTTGAACTCTGTTGTGGGGGGTGCGGGCGGAATAGCACGATGTATAGAAGGTGGAGCAACAGGAACCTTGTCTCTGTTCACATCAATTGGTGTAAAGATAGCTGGGTTTGAAGGGAAAGGATGATCAGTACACCTCTTTTAAAAAAACATAGATTCTTTAGACACTGCATTAAGTTGACTCCACCTTTTGGAGGTGATATGCTGTGCACTAGTAAAGTTATTTGGAGGTCTGGCAACTGATACACCATCCTTATCTTGACTACAAGGGGGACTAATGGATGGAATGATTTCTTCCCTGCTATTCCAATTTTCAACAATTCCTTATTTGCTGCAGTCAGTGACAAGTATAATTGGCCAGCTCCAGCCAGACACCAAGCGATCAATACCTCCTAGTGGTGGCTTTCTTTGATTCGGAAATTCTGCAGGTGGTGAAGCAACATATACTTTAGATGTCTCCTGGCTTGTTGGAGTAGGAGATGGTTGAGGATCTGCTTCCATGCAAATGATAGGTTGTGACAGATTCAGGTTAGCAAGTATGAGAAACTCTGCCATTTCATTAGCTCATAGTTTATGGCATAGTATATCCTTAGATCAAACAATCTTACAGTGTTCAATAAGGAGTGAAGGAGCTGGTGGTGTTGATTGACTTCTGATAGAAGGAAGATATGGATAAGGTTGAGATGCTGGTCCCAGGTAAAATTTAAAAAATGAAATTAGAGAATGTAAAGACTGATCGACTGTGGTGAACAGTTACGAGTTACGACATGTGCCAGAACTTATATAGTACTTACACCAGGGCATCTTTTGAAAAGAAGGTGCAGCAGTTGGAGTGTCAGCAGAAATTTTAGGATGAGGCGCATGTGGTTGAACTGGAAGAGATGGCAAAGCAGCAGGCACTTGATGGAGATGAGGATTTGGAAGTTCATTGCCAGTTTGAAATGATGGGACATCTTGGCCTGTAAATAATGTAAAAATAAGAAACCATCATACCAACTGATTCTAAAGGTTAAGATGCAGATAGAGTTCAACAAATTCCTCAACAATTGGCTCTGGGCTCTGCATAGATGGGGACGTTTTTCTCTTTGGTTACTGATAAAAATGGTCAAGAGCACTAGGTTCCACTGCAGTCAGTACTGATTGTTTAGGTGGTGAAACAGTTTCACCTGTGGAAGGCAACTTATTAGAAGTGTGCAGCCATTTCCAAGCAGATAAAAAAGAGGAAAAATCATCCGTTTTTCAGTCACAAAGTAGAACTTCATGGTCGTCTGGTTGATTGATGGGTTGCATATTGATCCTACCATTTACTAACATGTACAACAAATAGTAGTTCTTGCGGGTGGTTTTGCGGTTAATCCTAACAAAGAAACAATATGGACGATTGTTTCTACCTCAGAAACACCCATCACGATATATAATAAAAGTGAAAATTGCAAAACATTAATTATACAGTTTTGTGGTTACAGACCTAAGCGTTCGAGTCTTTGATCTTGTACTTGTGATGGATGAAGTACATCATCCAAGTAATTTTGTGGATGCCAATTCGTAATGGATAGAAGAACTTTGCAAGCAACAGCGGGTGCATGAGATTGCTTCAACCCTTCAAAAAAATAGGTGTCAAATAGAATGTTCAATGATTTTTACCAGCATACAAGTGTCATATGCTATTGACGAACTTGTTTGTCTCCTAGTGGGACAGAGTAAAATTCAGTACAATAGATTTTTCATCTTTCTTTACCATCAAGAAAATTTCTAGGATTGAAGAACCTATGGTGAAAATAAGCTGACAGTGTACTTCGTAAACTATCACAACACAGTGCTAAACTAAAAGATATGATTAACTGAAGCAGTTATTGAGGAATGTGGGCATTATATGATTAGGTACGGCTAAACACTAATCTAGATGCTGGTTTGAACTAAAGAACTAGTGCTTTATATCTAAAATGTAGAGCCTCGTCTCTTGCCCCTCAAACACTACTGGTATGCCCTGCAATCATTGTAAACTAGTATGTAGTAATTTCATCCAAAGTTGCCATTGCGCACTGTCTTAGGCCATTGCGCACTGTCTTAGGTCTATAACAGAGTTAAGCACTAACATTGCCACATTCACTTGTTAAAATAAAACCAATAGGCATCCTACACGACGGATATCGAATCGATCATGCCAAATTTCAGGTGCATAAACTTCTTTTCTTGTAACCAAGCAAACTTCAAGATCTGTATCTAGAATTTGAATTTAAGTGGATATTCTTCATCGTTTAAGCATGGGACGTTTATGACATTATTAGGACACACGACAAATCACAAACAGTACCACCTAGAATTAGTCTGCGTTCCAAACAGATCAAAGGTTCGAATAAAGTTAAGTCTAAAGTGGAGCACATGATTCAGCCATCAATTTATAACTGTAAAAAATAAGGGAAGTGCAAACTAGGTAACGCTCCACTCTCCTGTTTCGACAGCTCGGACCACCAAAATCGTCAGGAGTAACTAAATAAGCTGTAAACTACATGAGCACCCAAGCACGCGTGATCCTGATAAAACTACCCACAGGAAAGAGGAAACCACCAAACTCCCCCGGACCAACCCCAGAGGCGACCCGTACGTAGTACGTACCTCCAGCACCCTGGATCACGAGCGTCGAGACAACCAAGGCGGCGGCGAGGAGAGCACAGCCGCCCGAACCTCCCCCTCCTGCTCCTCTTCCTCCTCCGCGCCGACCCATCCCACCGCCAGCTTGCCTCCTCCCCGCGCCACGGTCCAGAGGCAAACAAAACTCGGACCGACAGCTGGGCTCCGATCACATCTCCGACACGCTGCACGCGCGAGTTGCTGCTGCTGGCTGCTGCTGCGGTGCGTGAGGAGGGAAAAGATTCGGGTCGGGGACTGGACCCAGTAAACAAAATGGGGCGGCCGGGTGGGCGCCTGGGCGGGGTAGCAGGCAGCAGAGCACGCGCGCACAAAGCCGACTAGCGACTATAGCAGAGCACGCGGCTTCTAATCGGGGAGGCGCTCGCGGGACCTCCTCCGTCTCCCCCGCAGGCCGCAGCCCCGCCTCCTCTCTGGAGCTCTGCTGCGCGCTGGCCGCTGGCGCACGGCGATTTGTCGTCCGTTTCCGTGATCCGGCGCGAGGTTTTTTTTAAAGGTTTTCGATGAGTTTTTGCGGCGGCAAACGGCAGGCTGGACGGGCAGCGTTCGCCGTTCGGGAGGACGTCGTGGAGTGGTGGCTACAGCGGAGTGGAGGGTCAGGGGGGGAGGGGAGGTTTCTGGTTGTTTGGTTTGGGTTTGGCATGGCGTGCTGGGTTTTTGCTGTTAGGTGGTAGGGTCGCAATTAGTTAGGTGGGCGTGGAGACGGACGGGCAGCAGTGGCACTGGCGCACTGCGCTGGACCGACTGATCCATGGTGGTGGACGCGTGGGTCTCCGTTTTGCAACTTTAGGGGACAGCAACAATCAGTGAGATTACGGACGGACCATCACTGTACGTCTGTACATGTGTACCACCGGAGTACCATGTGCTTGAGAGTTTTATTAAGTGATGACTTTAGGATCTTTTTTTTTTTGGGACGCATGAATTCTCCATAAAACCATATAGGAATTTTATAAGAACCGGTTCAATTTTATAACAAAAAGAGCGTATGATTCATCAATTTCTCGTATTTTAAAGAGGAACTTGTTTGAACAGTGGTCTCACTTGATAGAAATACTTCAGGTTAGAGGCGACGAAGATCACACGAGGATTTAAATTTCTCACGAACGAGCTAAACTCCAAATAAGGAGTAAGCTTAATCTAAACAACATAAACATAAACATTTGTAACACCTAGATATATAGGTCTTGTTCGTTTCTCTTATAATCCGTCTTTTTCAACTTGTTTTTTCGGCATGAACAGTGTTTTTCTCTCACAACAAATCAGCCGGAACAGTGTTTCGGTTTGTTTTTTCAGCGAAGCGAACGGGACCTATATGTCTAGATACGTAATAAAAGTTGTGTATTTAGAAATGCCAAAACGACCTATAGATTAGAACGGAGAGAGTATTTTCTAGACTTAGCTCCAACAATAATTCCCAAATCAAAAACCATACTTTCTGCCTTCCTTGGGCCGAGCAAAGGCAAGAAGTTATCCAGGAGGCCAAAGTCGAGCGAAGGAGCATTGTTGAGGCCAAGCTCAGGCAAGAGCTCGACCTCAGGCAAGAGGGTGCCAGGATGGAAGCCCACGTGTTGAAGGTATGATGGCGACAGGGAGTGACAAGCTTGAGTGGACCAGAACTAGGAAGGTCGAGCTCTAGTGAACTGGCACCGGGGACGACGTGCAGGGGTGGTTGGGCTCGGCAACCAAAGCTGGGATTCTGCCTAGCCTCCTCGATCTGCCAAGGCAAGTGGGGAAGGATTTGTAAGGGAGGGACAATGACACTAGATTTGAGGCATGCGGCGGTAGAGGCAATGCACGGTTGAGAAGAAGAATTGGCATTTGTATGAGCACTGGTGGGAAAAATGGAACAAACAGAAAAGTCGGTGCACGAGTTGACCCCTCAAGAATGAGGCATGATGCGGGGAAAGTAAGGGGGCTCTGACGGATTTGCCGGGCTCTTCAATAGGCCTTTTTTTCTTTTCTTTGATTTATTATTAAAGATGGTGTTGCTACCTATCTATGGAAATTTTGATTAACAGCGACCATGTATTAGAGGCAGAGGTGCTACTCGTCTCTATCTCTATATTCATGTGATAATATATGACTACATGCTATTGCTTCACAAATAAGCCTCCTCCCAATGCAAGCCCATTGATCAAGTACATACGTGCTCGTGCTACCGCACTGAATTTTTGCCCACAAAAGTGAACATGCAAAACATTACTAACTTTAACCATCATTTTAAAAAAAAATATACATATTAACAACATAATATTTATGTTTTAGATTTACTATAACAAATACTTTCATACTAGGATATCTCAAAATTGATGGTTAAAAATATAAATGTTTGGTGTAGGATAAACCTAATAGGACATATAAAAACCCATGGAGGGAGTACTGGCTAATTAATTAACTATAGTAAAGCATCATGATGGCGAGTGGCATGGTCTGATGTGTTCGTTCGGTCAGGGTTGGCAACAACTAACCAAATCAAATACACTCATGCATTACTCGTACACAGGTTTATGTCATGCTACATCTCGCCGAGATCATGTGTGCTCTGTTGTTATATGCTCAAAGCAAAACGGGGGACACATAAAAAGGCACCCATAATGCGGTCCGATGCGTTGAGCATTTCGAAAGCAGAACGGCCCATCAATTGATCCGAGGGATAAAGCACCCCACAACACACAAATTGTCTATTCTTAATTTCCCGTGCTGTTCTTAAAGGGCAAACAAGCAAAATAATTGAAGATAGCAAAGCAAGCCGGCTGTGGTCGAAGGAATGAGTGTATGGCGATCCATTTATTGGTGATATGATAGGGAAACAAAAGGCAAAGCAACTGCCAACCAAGCATCAGAAAAGAGTAAGCAGAGTTTTACAGAGCTTTAGTATACTTTAAGGCACCCGTGATACATGTTTTGTTTGAAAGTAAGAGCATGGAATGTGCTCGTCCTTTTTAAATGGTCGTCCATACTCCACTCCATACGTAGTCTACGGTTCCCATTTCCCAAAACCAAACCTGTGCTGCAGATGAAGTGACTGCATCGCATCGCCAACACAACATAGGTTCGCGTAGCAAGACAGTAGCAAAGCTTATCCATGCCAATATGCCATGCACCGTAACCAACTCGCGTCTGCCTCGTCAAAACGGCGTAGAAGCCGCCCAGAACACCCAACCGATCGACCCTGACGACCGACCAGTGAAGCGAAAGAATCGGGACCTGCGGACTGCGGTGCAATTCAGCCCACCTCCGCCAAGTCCCCGGTGACAAGCGAGAGCGACCTGCGCGCACCGCTTGCGTAGTTGCGACTTGCGTCGGCACAGTTAGGCCAGCTTTTTGACCTGCCGGCTGCACCGGGGAAACGGCCGAGACGACCGCTCGCCTCGGATCCTGATCCTGACCCTGCGTGTCATGACGACAAAACCTTCCAGCAACGGCACGAGCGGTTGGGATTGGGAACGGACGGACGGGTTGACGCGTGACGACATTGGGCGGCGCGCGGTGGGCGGAACCGCGGGAAGATGGATGGTGACGAGGAGATAGATAAGCGCAACTCGCAGCTTGATGACTTAGGCTTGTTTGGTCGCGCTTTTGGTTTTGACTTTTGGTTCTAAAAGCCAAAAGCGCAATTAAAGGGGTTGTTTTTTGAGGGTGTTTTTTCAGAAGCAGCTGCTTTTCCGTAGTTCATTTTTGAAAGCTGGTTTGACCCTGCTTTTGGCTTTTGGCTTTCTGCTTTTCGAAATTAGTGGAATAAAAAGCTCTTCCATAGTTGTTTCAAGAGAGATAAAGATAAAAGGTATATTTTATACTTGTTTAACCAAACACTTTTCAACTTTTCTCAACCCCACATCGACTTTTCCGCCCATATAATAGACTTTCTCCCACACCCATTTCAACCAAACAGGGCCTTATCCGGTCCACTGGATCTCTCGGATTGTAGCCTCGCTTCCGCCCCAGATTTCACTACAAGTGGCGCTATAGTCTCGAGGAGGGTAGATCCTGTCCACTCCTCGTCGTCCTCCTAGGGTCCCACTAAGATACACGTTTGTTACTCGCTGTTGTTTGGAGCATCGTCGTTTGGATTGACGATGATCTATCATTCTCTTTATTTCTGTATACCAAAATCGCGAGCTTCTTGCGCCACGTCGTCATCTCCTGCTGGCCGTCCGATTGCACACGTGCTTCCAATCCGTTTGCTCCCTTCGCCTCCTCCTGGAACTCTTGAACCTTGTGGCCTTCTCCAGCGTATAGCCCAGGCCCGTGCTTTTCCCCTCTCCCGCCGCACACGCGCACAGTGCTGCTCCATGCTTGCCTCGCTCCACGCCAGAATCGCTTTGCCAGGGCGCCATGATCATGATCGGCCATCACGCCCCACGCCACGCTACCTCCACGGCCGCCCATGGAGCCATCCCCACGCCGCTCTGCTCCGCCGTCGCCGGGCCCCGAGTGTCAAGACCGGTTCGAAGCGCCTCCCTCCCCACCACACCGTCGTCGCGCAGACCGCCGGTGTGCCTCTCGCCGCCGCCATACTGTGTTCTGCTTCTTCTTGATGTGCTTCGTTGCCGGCGTTGGCGTGTGTGTTTCGTGGCGTCTATGGGCTGGTCGCCGCCGCCGCCTCCGTGGACGCCGATTTTGTTGAGTCGCCTTCACTTGCGACTACGCCGACCCCGCGCTCATGTCTTCCCCACGTTCTCTTTCCTCTCTGAGCAAGGTACGATCCGTTAAGGTCCCACGCTTCGGTTTTGTGTACCTTGGTTGTTCTCTGCCCTTCAAGTGCTCGCTGAAATGCCCAAAATGAGTCTGCTTGCTAACTTTGCATCTCTCCGTAGTCTTCTGCTGCTCCTACGACATCCAGGTCACAGGCATTCTATTCCGTGGAAAAAAGTCTTCAATGGTACAGAGGTATGCTCTATCTTCCTACAAGAATTTTATAGTCCGTGTTGTTTTAAGGTTAAAAAATACGTTCGCTGCACTGCCTGGAACATAACCACCTAATGCTCTCCGAGGCATTGTTTAGATGGCAGTTAGAAATCAGTATTTGGTACCGTAACATTTTCGTTTGTATTTGACAATTATTGTCCAATC